TCTTGGACTAGCACGGCGGGCAGCGAATTCCAGCATTTGACAACTCCTAAGGAGTAGAAGTTGTGTCTACAGTCTGTTCTGCTATGTTGCATCTCTAGTTTCTGGGTGTTACCCCTTAGGTTAGTGTTGGGACTAAGCTTAAGTAGGTGGTTAAGAGAATGTCAAGAAGTATTAAGGATACTGTAAGCCATTAGAAGGTCACCTCTAAGACGTTTATACTCTAATGGGTAGAGGTTAAGTGATTGGAGGCGCTCTTCATAAGGTGATTTGATGCATATCTTCGTCATTTTCTTGGGAAACCTACAGACTCGGGTCCTCTCACAACTTATTCTAGCCACCATGAGTTGCCAAGTCAGCTGATGTATGGACACGCGTTACACATCCTAACCGTCCCTGCGTAAAATCTCATAGCTTCTTACTCAAATGTCATATGATAAGCAAGTAATGCCTTTAACGACACTAATGGAACACGAGTAATTCAAAGGCACCCTGTATAGTACCTTACACAAGTTTACGCACTCACTTAGCTCTTTAGTGAGAATATTACTACAGTCCTGCTAAAAATCCCATGAACCCCCCTACCTCCATCAAAACAAATAAGTCTGTATTTGCTGCATATAGCAATTTTATTTTTCAGAAGTAAGATATAACAGTTAGAATTGGAGTAAAATGGCAGTATACAGCAGATGCACGTGGTACATGTCTTCATCGATTAACTGAAATAGAGAATACGGATATTAGCTTAACAGGCTTATTTCGAAAGACTAGTGTCTACCTTGAACTTACTGCGTGAGAAAGTTATACTGGGACCATGAATAATGTAGGAATCTAGTCAACCAGGGTGTACGAAGCATCAAACTAGAAGACAGTTGTCCAAAAATAATTCGAATATGAAGGTGAAAATTTGCAGGCACTTTTCATCCTAAGGGTGAACATATTAGGTACCGGCTGACGTCATACCGTAAAAAAACAGGTTTGCGAGTGGTGAAATATGATCTATAAAACAGTTAGCTTAATAACAGTTAATTACCTTTTTACTCCCTGATCATGACCCCTCGGCTTCCTTTTATGGCCAAAACGGTAAACATACACTACACACTGATAGCAGATTTCCGGCTTTTCAATGTTAAGCTTGATTTAACGCACTACGTAACGAGTACAACCCCTCTATTACTGCTATATGACATTTTTTTATAACAAACCCTCTGCAATAGATTGGTAGTATCTGTGACTTCGTCTATGGTTGTCGGAAGTCTGGGTCCTTTAGAAAACAGTACTGATATCCCCTACTTCTGGGCACTTAGTATTAGTTTGACTCGTTGGCGGGATAGTGTTGTCCATAATACTGAAGAAAATTAAAAACCGGAGATTGTTTCCTTTCATTTTGCCGATAACGTCATAAAGGAAAGTTAGTCACAGGCGGCAGCAACAATTATTTTAGCTAAAAAAACGAACTTCGGCTTTGGATATCTAGAAAACAATAAAAAACCGATTACCATTTTAAAACATAAGACTAGCCAGCTTGGCTGAAGAAATACATTGACTTGAGTAGAAGCAGCAAAAACTCAAAAAAAATGCTGATTCGAAGTAAATTTCACACCAACATATAGAACATTACACTAACTGCGGTATTTTAGCACACTGAAACATTAAATTACATAGCTACACAAAAGAAATAGCTGAAAGAAACACAGAACGAAGAAAGCCGACCGCCATTGCTTACAAAGATGGCGGATATAATAATTCCCGCCCCATTCTGATTGGTTGCTAAGCTGAAGGGCACATTTACAAAATTGAGTTGCGTTTAATTGGAACCACGTTGGGTAGTTCACCAATCTTCGTCAAGATCAGGGACAACCAACACTCATCAGTTAGCTGCGCATCGTGGCCTGACTCGTGCGGCTGTGATCACATTCTGTTTCTTGTAAATACTCCTGCTGATAGAGTCCTGCAGTAACGTCATCTGTGTTGCGTGATTGGGAGTCTGCGGAATTATGGTTTACTATGGTATTAATACTGCTCTACTAATAGACCTGATCCTAAAATTGTGTATTTGTCATGATGTAACTGCCCAATCTATAAGATTTTAAGTGGACGTCACATCATTGTCTACGCTGACTCATCGTATCGTAATAATCACCAACACATAATGGAGAACAAGCCTAGGCTGGAGATAGAACCATATATTTAATATGAATAAAAGATATAAGATAACATTCAACAGAGATCACGCCTGCAAGTCTGAGCCATGCCATCCGACCAATTCGAATTAAGTCAATTCATTCTTCCCGCATTCTCCACCGTTGGGTTTGTCTCCGCGTCTCCTGATAAAAGTAGGTCACTACGAATTCTTGAGGGAATTTTGGGTTTTCCCCAATATTTTCCCACAATCTTACAACACTGGGGTTTTTACCCGAAATTTCCGTAAACTTTGCGGAAAACTACCAAACTTTTCACGACTATGGGGAAAACCCAAAAACTTACTCAAAATTCTCCAAAGTTCCTCCATAATAAAGAGATTGGAAAATGATACTTCTTTATATGATATTTTAATTTCAACAGGTTAGTTACTAACCACTTAACTCAAGCTGCTACAATAATAGCATCTCACAAGCAACACTGGTCAACGCTGTAAACGAAATAGTGTCCAGTCTTCAAACTCCAAACGGGAAAATTGCCATCCAAATAGAGCTTCTGGCGACTTGTTACTTCCATGGTCAGTGAGGCAGTTACCTACCAATTATATTGGAAGACAGATATGTAATATCATGAGTTGATTGAATTTTGACATAAGGATTATTGGATCTGACCATTGGACTGACACGCTCACTGCGAGGTCGATTATTGGCTTTGCCGTGGATGTATAGTTTGACTGAATAAATATCTCACCTAGCACGTCTCATGCCGCGTACTGATAAAAGCCATACAATACACTATATAAGACACTGAAAATAGAGTGCATTGCTCCAAAGAATGGGATTGTGATGCACCTAAACCAGAACAGTGATTCCGATACTTCATTCATCATAACACTATATGGTGATAGCAGTCTTTATTCTTAAAAACACACCGCCTAGCGCTTCGAAAGCCAACAATGGCTAAAAATGAGCTTAATCTTGTATTGGACACTATCCGCTACTCAAACAGTACCTCTTCGTCCTCGCTGCCTATTATAGCAGGAGTCTGAGCATAAGGGGCTACTGTGGACAACTTAATCATAATTCGACCTCAGACGTCACTACTTACTACGTTCTCAAAACCTGACAGTCACCGTTTAAAAATTAACTCCATAAAGCCCAACAAGCAGAAGCTTAATATATCTTTAAAACAGTCCATACATACATCAAGCCCCTGCAACATCTAGCCACTCCCCAATAGTTCAGCTTAGTATAGGTAATGTGTTCTAAGTGTAAATGCTGTTTCCAATTCTACTAGTTGATGTTTATTTCGATTAAACAGAAATATTGGGTACCTTTGGGAGCAGTAATCCTATTCAGACGTCCCGAAACTGAAATCAGTCGGAATCACAATAAATTGTTTTATCCAGGAAACCCTAAATGTAACTGGATACGATATCAACAAACTCCGCAACCCCCGAATAGCTAAGTCCAAAAATTTGATTGATAATGGAATTTGAATTGCTTCCTCATGTATTACTCCGCACTCTAAAAAGTGCCGGCTACAAATAAACACTAATGTTATTAGCCCCGACCAACAGACGGACTTGCGGAGGGACCACACAAGGATCAAGTACCAACACTTCAACTTCCTTGGTAATTGTAGGAATAAAACGTGTGAACAGATAGCATTAATGTTCGGAAATTGGGTACAATTTTACGGAAAAACGGAAGACGTAACAAAGACTGAAATGAGTTGGCGAAATAGCAGATCATGTCATATAATAAGGCGATCGGTAACTGAACAATTAAAATCTACTTACAAAAAATTCAACATTAAAACAGAATGAGGACACGTAATTACATGATTTTAGGAACAAGAAAGTTACTTACATGTCTGAACACATCTATAGGGACCTCATAGATGACTAGAGTTACCTCAATTTTCTACACTACACTAGTAGTATTGTACACACCTGCTGATAAGTTTTCAACATAAATTAAAAATACTACCACACAAAATCAGTCCGACTAATTACTTCCTAATGAACTATTTACTTCTGCGATGTATCATCATAGCCGATAAGGGATGAGAGATAAAAACGTATCTTAAAAATCATTGCTTATGTACAAGAACCCACTAAAGTAAACCTCGCCTATATAACTTTTATTAGCCCGAATTTCCATCGTGAAACGATAGCGACAAAAAACCAAATGTCGAAACATCTATTCTAAATAAAACCGTTAGTTGAAACCTAAGCTTTCATGTTGGTTGTAATTTTTCATCTAAACTCGTGCGAAACCAACTTTTAATCTAAGATATTAACGCCATAAAAGTTTTCCTATGAATTATAGCTTATTCTTAAAACTGAAAATATCCGAAGGAACTATCGAGTTTTGACGACAAATCAACTTTTATTTGAAAACATTCAGGCGCTAAACTGTATGCCCATGATGAATGTAACATTGTGTAATCGAAAAAAGCTATTTACGAATTATGTAATTAACCAGAGTAAATACCTTTTAAAAATATATACAAATAATTTTGACAACAGAAAATGTCTAGAAAAGATTAATAAATATATAACATATTAACAAGATAGTTGACTGTAATAATACTAAATTAGTTTATTTGACAGCAAAGAACGAGGACAGAAGGCAAGGTAGACTCAAACCGTTGAAGACAATGATTATATATATATATATATATATATATATATATATATATATATATATATATATATATATATATATATATATATCAAGAGGCTACAATACTATATTGTGAATATGAACTATCACTAAATATTATGATACAATATTTGACGAACACATATTACTAATGAAAAGAGATATTATGAGTATTTTTTAGACAAAGTATATAAGCAACCAAAAGCAGCACAAGTAGATTTAATCACAGTAGGAAAACAACTTTTAAAATAAATCACAAAGAAACTTGGGAAATTAGCAAACTATATAAGTCACTATAATTAATTACAAAACATGAGAACATAAAGAGGAGGAAATGCAATGATGAAAAAGAAAGATAAAACTAAAAGTTGAATAAGTAACACAGTTTGCTTTTTACATGGAAATTGGTACATGTTTTATAATTAAAGCCTCTTTAAAAGAGAAAGATTTAGTTTGACGTCCTGAGTTATTACAAGCTCCTGTGAATGGAAGAGCACCAAAAACAGGTTCATAGTTAGTTGGCTTGATATGATCGATGATTTTTTCGTTGGAACGGTTATTAAGAGACATATTTGAATGCAGTGTAGAATTTATGTTACAATTGTTATTATTGTTTAATAAACCATCTGAAAATAGCAAACCTTTTATATCAGGTTCTAAATCGCTTTCGGTAGATTGGGATACAGAGTTTATAGGAAGAGAAAAGTTTTTCAAATTTTCATTACAATCTATTAGTATACAGCCAGCCGTATCAGAAAGGGGGGATGAAGTATGTATACTTGAAAGACAAGTCTTTGTGAGTAGAGTTGGACTAACAGATGACGGTAGCGAATCCGATACAGATTTCGAGAGCAGATTAGAATTGTGGTTTCCTGTGAAGCAAGAAAATGGATGCTTTCCATCAATAATTTTTGAAATAGCACGACTATCAGTTGACATAACTTGACTACAACGCTTACTGCAGTTATTTAGAGCATTAAAACTCCCGGAGTGTCTTTTTTTGTGGTACATTAAAATGGACTCTCTTCGAAGAGACGAAGATGCTTGAGAGGAAATCCATGTAGTAAGGCGAGTTGAACGCCGTGTTGGCTTAGGAAACAATATACAGGATTCAATAGATTCAAAATCCAAAATAGATGGACTTGAATCACCTTCAGAACACTGGCTATCTGATGATTCTGTGCTTACCAGTTCCTGGCTAGATTGGATACATTTAGCCAACGATGACTCTTGTTTACCAGACGAATTAGCACTAGGTTTTTTACAGTCTACAGTCAAGTTTGTTATTTTCCGCTTTTTTGTTCTTCGTACCATCTCATGAGGAGGAATAGGTCATAACGATGTCCAGTGAGATAATCAATGATGCGCACATCACGTAAACGGCAACGGCTACCTTGAATATGATCTAAAACATCTAAAGCACGATCAACGCCTGATGAGAAAGCACCATGAGTACATTGTTGACCACCAGAACTGTCAACGGTACCTTCACCTGCAAAAAGCAACTTCGGACAAACCTGTAGTAAAAACAAGTTGGAATAGCGTGTAAGTGATGAGAATATTTTGGACCGTCTTAAAACATATTAATATTGCATATAGAAAGATTATGGTAAAACCAGAAACATAGCTTAAATACATTGGGGAACATTGCAATTTTAGGAAGGACTATGTAGATCGAATAATAAATTCAATAGCTTCTTGCAATAAATGAGTCCCTGTGATGATAAGGATATTCTTACCCCGAACAGTGTGTTTAAATTTTTATGGCGATCCACTTATAAAGCGAAATTCTCCGACATCTATAATGTAATAATTTCCATATTTTAAAAATGCCACTTGGAATTATGTGAGTTGTCTGGCCTTTAAATGTTTACTTAGGACAATCTGTCCGAAGACAAACATCTCAATAGAGGATTGATTTCTACAGTGATCTCACACACTAAATTAAGTCACACTCTAAACATTATTGATAACAGAATATTACTAAAAGTTGTGATTTTTCACTGTCGATATGTTTGTGAATTGGTTAGTCTCTATTAATACTAATGTTCTAATTCCATAACCTCATAGCCAAAAGCACTATCGACTAAGAAGTGGTTACATTCAATAAACCGGCACCAATTAAAATAAAATATTCACTCTACTAGTCACTGATAAATCAAATATGTAAGCAAACATGATTAATTAGTTCAATTTAAAGAAATAATAAGATTATAACTAACTGTGGAAGGCAGGCTACTTGCATAAGCTTGTCGATCAGCGTCACTGCAGCCAACCTCACCAGCAGTATAAGCACCCAAACTAAACGGGTCTTCTGACCATCGAGTAACGTGAGTGTATATAGGTTCAGGCAATGGACACTGAGAAGGGTACATACCACCTAATAAATCTAGTAAAGTTTTGACGACAGCTTGATCAGATCGACCAGTGATCCTGAGCTTTGAACCACCCCATACGTGAGCAACCAGAACACCTGGATTTCCATAAAAGTCACAATTAAGTATATGAAGGTAAGCGCCGGGACACGTAATATGAGGCGTGTCACGATCCCAAAAAATTTCTGATGGGTTAAACATTAAAATAACCTAAAAGGAAAAAAGAGCGATACCTGTTATTTATCATAAAGTATGTTAACAATACCCTCATTCATCAAAGCAAACACATGGAGACTACAGTTCATTGTCAAATGGCTTTCTAACACAGAAATTATACAAGTTTCATTAAACAACAACCACGTAAGAAATAATCTATTATATCTATATACAATAAGTCAAAAATATAAGGAAAGATTATAGAAAATATCATGCTTGATGATTTTAATGAAAACTGAAGGTATAATCCAAACTGTATCTAGAATATTTCGAAAGCATTTTGTTATAATCTCTCTTATTATGACTCAGCTATTCTTATTGTCCAGTATTCTTGGACACCCACTCACTCGACAAGTCCCCAAATCAGAACACGGTTGAACAGGAACGTAATTACATTCCAAATAACAAGGGTGGATAGAAGTAGGAATCTGTGGTGTTTGTATGAACTATTAATTCTTTTGTACTTGATGAGTGCCTGATTTTGAATTTCAAATACAATACGTTCGTTCATGCTTACCTAGTTCTACCTAACATGAATTGTGCTATTTCGGGGATTCCTAGATCATATGATAATCCAAATGCTTCTAAGTATCACAGAATCAAAATAAGAAAAACGTTAGTATATTTGTAGTTTTTACATGAAAAGATCCTATTGTCTTCTCCAAGTATCCACTAGCGCTGATTGGTTATGAAATAGCCAGTCAGAGCGCCCCAACACAATCCTGTAAGAAACATCCTTCAATCGAATTTACATCCCGTTAACGCACGTATACTATAATCACTTTTTTTCAGTTGAACAAAAAGGTTACCATATGAGGGTTTGATACGGTAATTTTTAGTTATGAGGTCATATAATTAACATTATTCGAAAATTTCAAAAACCCTTTCTTTTGAACGGATAGTCTAATATCTATCAATATTAGCTTTGTCAGTTACCCTAATAATGTTTTTAGAATACAAGTAATTTACCATAATTATAAAAAAACCTAGTCTTGAAGTTCATACCTTCTGCTGGATTTTTTTCAAAAAAGTAACAAGTGAAATTATTTTAAAATGTAAAAATTATGTTAGAACTACTTAATAACCGCACAAAGCCATGCAATAAATTTATACATCTTTTCAAGTATACAATCACTACCTGAATGGTAGCTGAAAATTTTGTGTTACTGTTTTTTTATTTCGGTCCGGCTTACTTGAGAATTTTTAAACGTAGATTTTTATTAAAGTTGTACATATTTTATAGCATAAAACTTGCATCATGATGTAAGTTATTTTACATTGAATGAGCACATGAATATCAAACGTTCAAGGTAGAGAAATTCCTGTGAAACTGAACAAATGTTTCAAGAAACTTTAACAGTGTTTTTATCCATTAATGATAACCACACACTTTTACATTACTCAATATTACATATATGAGATACTAAATTTGGAACTCATAATGATAGCAGTGATAGACTTTACGATCACTGTATACTTTTAATATTGAATGCATTAAATTGTACACTTTACATTTAGATCATTAATACGACGATATAAAATGTTGCAATTTCAGAACAGAAATCACCAGGCAATTTTGATTTTAAAGTGTAGATTTAGTGGTGACTAGTGACTTTTAATCCAGCCTGAATATCGCTCTACATAATACAAGATTCCTCGAAATAACACAAAAATGAAAATATACAATTTATTTCGACGCAACCAGCTAAATACAGTAATATATTTTCAGAGAGAATTTCTAACGAAAACGTACGGTAATTTGAAGTAAACAAAGTATAGTGGACCATTTCCTTTCTAGGATGAGTCCACTTAGTTATAATACTGTTAAAAAACCAATATATATATATATATATATATATATATATATATATATATATATATTTCATAGGAGCAAAACTGGTATGAAAATATCAGATTATTGCATCTAAATTTTGGTAGAACGATAGCTAAAGCACTCAGCTTTCAATCAACAGGTTAAAAGTTCAAAACTCATCCCACTTAATTCAGTCAGAGCAGCAGGGAATCAGTAATATCATTAGTCATCACACAAATAACGTGGCTCAAAGCAAAGTACATGGACTTGTAATTGACAAGTTACACTATATTGTGAGGTTTACAAAGAGTATTTTACCATAAGTTTTTCAGCCAATAGTTTATTCCACATTGACTGATATTTCAGATAACTTATAACCTTTCAGTTAATATATTTTTTTCAATGCTATGATTATATCTGTAAAACAACTCATGCTATCAAGTTAAACAACGTTACAAACTGCACGAAAATCCATAGTCAGTTTACCTTATTATGAGTTTCTGCTCCCAACTTTGGAATACCAAGACGATCTATTGCAAGTCTTTTCCTTGAAGGCAAACACGGATGAAAATGGATGGCACTACGACGATCAAGGCCTTTGAGTACACCAACAGGGACTGTTATGATGCAGAAGCGTGCAAAATAACGCCTAGAAGATTGTCTGTTGAAAACCAACGTAGACGATTCCCCTGAGTACTGTGCCACATCAACACATACTAGATTAGAAGACTCAATAAAATCCATAAGAGTTTTAGTAGACCATGAGGCAGCACTGTCATGAATTAATTGGATATTAATTTCTTCATTAGATTTACCAAAGTCTGTGTGATTTGACCAATACACATGTCGTGCAACACATCGGTGATGAATGTCTACACCAGACGCTAGAAATTCGACAAACTTTGAGAACCCATCTAAAACTAAACGATCCTCCCATTTGTGGTCGGTTCGACGAGCAATGCTCTTACACGAGCCATTCAAACTTAAATGGGTTCTTTTTTCTTGCAACCAATCCAAATAGATTCTTTTGGACACAGAGCTCGGTTGGTCAACATTCAGAGCTAAACCTGCCATAGCATCAGCTTCGAAATGAGGTCCCAAAGAAAGTTTAGGAGAGAGTCTATGAGCCGGATTTACATACGCTATGTATCGGGCAAAAAGGGAATCAAAAATGCCCTTTTCTCTTCGAGAAAGAGTTGGAGAAGTTCGGTAGCCTGCTTTGTATAGTAAGTGAAGACATGATTCTAGAGCACTATAAGTAATAAAACATAAAAAAATTAGAAGAAAGCCAACATATAATCATGTGAGCAAATGCATTGATTTAACTCTATTAAATGATCACTGAGATAAATTTCTACCAAAGTAGTAGGGTTATATGAAAGGTGTCTTATACCGAACAAATAGTCTTTAAATAAGTTGGTAAAACGCGAATACATATATTGTCACATCTTATGAGTTTAAAAGTAGAGCTGCAGGATAAATTATTCGTGAAGTCATGATATGAAATTGAAAAAGTAACCTGGAAACCCAAGTAATACTTCAGTATCTGATGCAACATATCTCCCGAAACACATACACAAGCCAATTCTATAGACCTAAATAAGCATTTTTGAGAGCAGCTTATAAAGAGGTGATCTTAATATAATTTAATATAGACACTGGTGAAATAAAGTAAAGTGAAGACTAATGAAAGCTACTTAGACTGATATACATTTAGTTACTATTATATATATATATATATATGGAGAGAGAGAAATTTATATTCCCTGTGGAATGAGTGAAAACTTGCACACGGCACAAACCTTGGTAAAGCAGTAGCTAAAGTTTTATTTGATCGATTCTCTTGCTTCTTCTGATTTGCTGCCATAAGAATGTACAGTAAGCATCTGTCAAGTAGAAAACTCATGTCCGCCACTTCTTCCAAGCCAATTTCCTTACCCGACTTATTATCTCGCCAAACAGCTACCTCTGGACATTCCCAACCCCGATGCGTACCTAAAACATCCCCAGCGGCAGGAGAAGTAGCGATTTTTAAACGACTAGCCAGCGTAAACAAAGGTTGGACATCCTGCGAATTGTTGCATCCATGAAGGTAGCTAGCCCCCAGGTCGACGACAGACTTATCTTGTGATTTGTCAGTAACAGAAGGAAGATCGACTGTATGAATCCGGCCACCACTTCTTGATCGCGCTTCTAAAACAATAGTTTTAAGTCCTTCATTAGTTAGTAGTTTGGCTGCAGCAAGTCCAGAAATACCAGCACCCAAAATAAGCACATCACAAAACGTGGCCTCCGACATTTTATAAGTAGCCTCGACGAGGATCGAGCTGCATAAAATAGCAAATAAAAATAAGAATTATGAGGTGAGTCAGATGTTTGGTAAGTACAGTAGTTCACCTCAGTAACAAGATACGTTTTCGAACACAATGACGTAAGTGATATTTATTAGGTGAGGGTCGATAGTATAATATCAATTTTACGAATGTCCTGTGTGGTATAAAGCATTGCCAACGTCACTAAACGATTCCGTCTAAATAGTGTGTGACTACTTTTGATGGAAGGACTATAGTCTTTGAATTAACCGATCAGATATAAGATGAAGGGTCTTGGATTTTAACGAGAAAATCATTGATCTATTTGGTTAAGTGGCGTTTTATCATTTTAGCTTATGTCAGTTCGTGACGGAAACCCGAAACCTAATCCCAATTCCTGACACTCATTTATAACCCCTACTAAGTCATAGTTAGTACGTGGATACTATCATAATCTCTTTAGTGTCCCTCAAAGGTTGCTCATAAATTATATTCTCAACTAGTAAATACATGTACGTTAAGCAAGATTATTTGGAAGCTGATTTCGGCTTCAACTGAAGTCTTTAAGTTCACCTTAATTTTAGTGAGGCTAGTACCAAATCCGAAAGCCTGCTTTGAAATACCTGGTGATATTTTGACGGTTTTCTTAAATACTAGTAATTTTTAGCATAGTGTTGTGAAAACCATGTCTTCAAAATCTACTTTCAAGCATGTAAAACGATTTCTAGACAGGGAGGAATTTTTCTAGGCTGGAACTCTAGCTTGCTATTGTTTAAAACTCAACAACTAAGCAACAATTACAAGCGACAGAAGTTACGAGATTACAGAACCAGATGTACTTGGAGTCAAGTACGCCAGGAACCAAACTTTCCGCTCCCAACATTTAGTACTCAATCTTATTATAACGAATTTTTGAGACGTTTGTTTGTAGCCTTGATGTTTATTGTGTGCAGGTACAGTTTAAGGAGCCATTCACTAATGTAGGAATATAACCCATGTTATTCTGTGCAAGTCACGACTGGCATTCTCGCTTTCATTTTTCTTTACCGATTAGTTTTTAGTTTTGATGCAGTTGTTAGTGTTTTCATTTAAAGTTTTCCTTTTTGACAGTACCGCCTACTCAATCTGTACACTCTTATGGACAGTTAACCGTCAATTAAGTGTCTACCAAAAACCAGGAGGGTGCTTTTATCATATTACTTGTCAAAGAATACACAAAAGATAAGGTACTGTCCAAGATAAAAAAGGTGCTCCTCAAAACTAACTACCTATTGGGTTTCGAGAGAAACCCGACACCCGAAATTACAACCTGTAGGAACCCATGCAGTTTCTAAAAAACTCTGTTTATGAACATTGAGTTCAAGGCAGATACTGCTGCAGATATTTTGAAGAATCGTTTAAAAATCCTTGAGGAATGTTTTTTACGCTACCCAGGCTCGCATTTTCCTCACAATCCGCCCCGATACCCATGGATTTTCAGAGATCAGCCCTCGCCATGGGTCATATTATGTTTAAGTTCTTTTGCTCGTGTGGAGCAGAGTTCACTGGGTGCACAGAGCAAACATTTCGAAGAGCATCTCTGCACATTTTCCCAGGAAGCCTTCGAAACGTGAATGCAAAACGATCAGTAGTTGAATACTATGAACATTGGTCGTGTCGCCCCACCTGGAAAGCCTTTCAAAGTCATTCATACGGCCAGTCAATTCAATTCCAGAGAAAAACAGCTCGTAACTCGTGCATTCCGGGGGTTCTGGCAGTCCATAGTTTTGATGATGTCACAGGTATTCAGTGTTTAACAACGCTTCTACCAGTAACACCTTCTAATATGATTTGTACCCACCGAGAGAAATCAAAAGACAGAGTCGAGGAGATCGGAAGAGTGTATTTGGCGATAACCGAAATATCGGAATTCTCTGATCTAATCTGGCTAGCGATTGTGGTTGATGTTGAGCACGGCGTTGCCACACGTGATCTGGTGCGGATGCCTGACCAAGCGCCTTCAGCTAGATGAGTCCGCTAAAACATATGGTCAGCATCCAATGTTGAAAACTTACAGGCTATTTATTTTGGGGATTTATTTACCGCTACAGTTTCAAACTTGAACTTTGTATGAAAAAGAATCACGTGCAATCTATTGTTCTTTCATGACTGGCAATTATTGTTCATAAAAAGTAGTTTGATTGTTAATACATCTATTAAATGTTTTAAGTCTCAGTATTAGTTACTTGATATTAAAGCCATCACTTTTTTAATAACCAATAAGTGAAAAATTATTTTTCGTACTAATATCTCTCATCGATTTCTTTATCATTCACATGCTTCAAGTAGTTTTGCATGGAATAGAAGGAGCTTTCGCTTAACGGGAAAAAAATTTGTAAATCATAGTGAGATACTGTCCTTAGTCCTTAAGAATATGTCAAATTTTCTGCTAAAGGATTCTCGGGAGGTCGCTTGGACTAGCTCAGTCGGCAGCGTATTTCAACACTTCACTACTCTCAAGAAGAAGTTTGCCTACAGTCAGTTCTGCTATGTTGTGTCTCCAATTTCTGGGTGTTAGCCCTAATTTTTGAATTAGAGCTAAGTTTACGTAGTTGTTTAATGGAGGCCCAGAAATGTTAAGAATGCTATAAGTCATTCGATCACCTCTAAGACGCTCGCACTGTTTCCGCACTCCATATAGGAAAGAATAAAACTGTTGAAGATTATGTGGAAAGTTCTTCAGTCGAACTGACAGAAAATGCTCTTCAATCTTACCTGCGAAATGTTTTTTTGGAAGGAATTTTTGTCGTAGTTGGCGTAAGGCCTCAAACCATAGGGTACCAACACTCCTAGATCTTTATCGACTTGGGATACCTCTGAGGGAGTCGCCTAAGTTGTAGTTTGCAGAATGTCTCAGATGAACTGCTTTACACTTTGAAGTGTTGAAGGTAAGTCCGTTGTTATCTGCTCAGCTTTGCAGTGTAGTCAGATGCTCCTTAAGTGCCAGATTATCCTCTTAGTTACGTGCCTCTCTCCAGAGTTTCACATCATCGGCGAGAAGTAATAAACCCGACGATAACTTCTATAGACCGTTTATATGAATCAAGAAAAGATGTCCTAATGTCCTAATTTTATGATAACTTAATATAAAATTGACATTTAGTCTTTTCCTAATACGAAATTAACATTCAGTATAATTACCTAAGTTAGTAAACCTGAAGATACCACCGTTATAGTGTAATCCACGAATGCCGGTAATCAAGTATCTTATAGATCCATGTCAGTAAGACAAATGAAGAAGAAAAAACTGGTGGTTGGGAAGGTAGACATTTTTGTTGATAGGTTAAAACGTGGCCTTGTAAAGTTGTCCGACAAGAAACCTTCAATTAGTTGATGTCTCATCAATCCAACTTAGTCAACAGCGGTCATGGACATTTACAAAGTTATGTATTTTAGAAACTTATATTGAGCTACATCTTAGTCCTTTGTCTGAGACCGTTCAGACAGTGGTGTCCATTAAAATTAACGAATGCAGGAATAGTAAATTACATATGAAAAGCTTTTTATTCTAACAAGTTAATAAACTCCACAGCCTCAAGGAGCTGTACTCGTTGGCACTTCCCTAACTTTTGTACGATATTATGACAGCTTAGGTTGGTTGGTTAAAAGTTCACCTCAAAGAACTAAGCATGTGTCAAAACAGTATAGTTCAAGTATTCATCCACTTCGTTATTTTGTATAGGCGTTATATTTCCTACTATCTCATATTGAATGTTGAGAGGCTTTGTTTATCTGAACAAATGATCCCACGCTCCAGCGTGACTGCGCGAAGATCTAAATAAAGACCTGTTCACTACTTGTCTGGTTTCTTCTATCAATGGCACGAGGGTTACCTAGAGGCACGAAAGTATAAAGACAGACTACCTAAATTTCGTCTTCATTGTTATTGTGAAGATGCAGTGTTGAGACGTTGCAATCTTTCAATTTCTTCAACAAGCATGAGAAGCATGAGAAAATAAACCGGATTTACCACAGTGACCAATAAACATGTTTTTAACATGGAATTTGTTTCAACAGAACCAAATAGAATTATGGACGATGCAGTTGCAATGTTTTGGTTATGGAATCAGCACTTTAGACTTGAGAATTTCTTATTTCTGAGCTAGTGTTACAAAAATGACCCAAATGGGTTCAAGGCAAGTTGAACGGCATACCTTAGTTTATTCCAAAGTAACTCGTAGATCTCTATCAGTTAATAACTGATCTCTTACAATACGCACAGGGTTATCAGTAACCATGAAGAGAACAAAAAGAGATATTTTCGTCTCAGTTGGATGGATAAATGAGGAAATCTAATCGTGAAATCAAACTCTTCTATGAACTACAAAATGGATTCTCACGACGCACATAACCACGAATAATTTATTAGTCTAGGGTTGTTTTATAGGTTGCTTTGATCAAAAAGCGCTTGTGGATGCACTTTCTAGTGGCCGAATTTAGGGGATTTGATATCATCCTGCAAAATTTCCTGGTGGCAACGTACATCATAACTGGATATGGCCAGTATCTGAACTACCAAATGAAGCAATATTGGTTTGGTAAGTGGTGCCTAAGGTTAGAACCGTGAGACTGCTCCGTAAAATTCACTCACTTCAACTTACAACTAACCAACCTCTGAATAACTGTCGAATTTACTAGGACTAGTGCAGTCAAGGGTTTTCACTGAACAATAAGATACCTAGAGTAGTTTATTAGCATTGTAGGAGTAGTGAACATGGACTTATTTTGTAGTTATTCGCATTTTCTACTTCGGCCTTTGCAGTGGCTAATATTATGTCAAGCCCACATTAGGCTATTCTAGCTTTTGGACAAATCAATCTATTTATTCTTCCCAGACCACTTATTGACCTAGTCACTTAATGACTTATTAACCCTGACTGTTTTTAGATGATCGTATATGTGTTGGTTGCTTATCCTATTCATTATGTCTGCAACTTAATCTTGATCTGTCTATAAATGCTGAGTAACGCTTGACCAAATTAATATGACTCACTTGCCTCCTCCGATCCGTTTTGCTCTCCTCTCTTTGTTCCCTTTCCCTGATTGTTTGTTCAAATCAATCAGTGCATGAAAAATGCGTGTTCATAATGCATTTTGGTTTTTGGCTTATTTAATTCCGTTATTCACTAACGCGAATTAAATTGATAAAAAATATATGAGGGTGGCTCGAATGTATATTTCAATAAAAATCAGCAAACGATCTAATTGAAGTCTGATAATTGGTCCACCAATGCTCCCAGACGAGAGCGCAGCCGAATTAAATGGCTTAAAGTACCTCGTCATAGTGATACTAGGTATAGGTCACTATTGAAGATGATGTATGTGCACGGTAGGGTCCACTTGATTTGGACGTCGATATTGTGACCTGAGTCAAAGCCACACTTTGCGGTTAGTGTCTAACATCGATAATACTTTCGTGGTATCGAGATACTGTGGTAGCTTCGATGACCTTATAGAAAAAAGGTGACGTGGTTAGAGAAACGTATTAGTAAGATGAGATTATAGAAACAGAAGTATCATATATTCAGGGTTTGACAATGCTGTCGTCTATAACACTCTTATGATTAGAGATCCCAGAGTCAGTAGTATCAGAGATCAGGAACGAAGGAGTTCGAAGATGCATTTGGAAGGTAGTCGATTTAATAGGAAGTATATGATCCAACCTGACTAGTTGTTAGGGGGATTCACAGCACGGTGCAATCAGCAAGGATCTCATGAGGATGTATGACTGAACGACTTCAGGCTGAGCGTTTCCAATTACACGGAACTATCCTTTGTGAGGACTGAATTAACTCCATGCTGTATTATGCTTGTGTGTTAAGTGGTTAATTTGGATTAGTCATC